TGCGTGTCATTGCTCATGCCGGCACAGATTATTCCGGGTGGTTCCCTGAACCCTCAACCCCTAAACCTTAAAACTCTAAACCATAAACCCTAAACCCCAAATCCCTAAACCCCTAAACCCTAAAGCCCAAAATCCCTACTGCCAGGGTATCTCCGCCGAAGGGCCATCCTGCTCGCAAGGCGCCAGCGGTGTTTCAAAGGCTTCGCTTTTTGGTTTAGGGTTTAGGGTGTGTTGGGGTCTAAGGTTTAGGGTTTAAGGTTTAGGGTGTGTTGGGGTCTAGGGTTTAGGGTTTAGGGTTTAGGGTGTGTTGGGGTCTAGGGTTTAGGGTTTAGGGTGTGTTAGGGTTTAGGGTTTAGGGTTTAGGGTTTAGGGTTTAGGGTTTAGGGTTTAGGGTGTGCTGGGGTTTAGGGGTTTGGGGTTTGGGGTTGGGGTTTAGGTTTCGGGGTTTGGTCTAGGATTCACGGGGTAGGGGGTTCATGAAGACGGATTTAGGCTTTAGGGTTCGCAAGAGGGGTCTGGGGTTTGTGGGTTTACGGGGCCATCGCCTTAAATCTTGAGCCTCCAGCCTGAACTAGCAGCGTCTTAGGCCTGGGTTTTCTTTACCCTCTCTCTAGGCGAGTACTTTCCGCGCCGTAGTCCGATTCTACCTTAAACCCTAGATCCTAAGCCCTAAAGCCTAGGCCGTAAAGTACTTTGGATCTAGTGGCTGAGGGCGCTTGGCCTGATGCCCTACTTGGAGGATCATGGGACTTAGTAAGTAAGGTTATAACTACCTTAATTTGGGTTATAATTCCTTATAAGTATAGTTACCGTTACCTGATTTATAACCCCAGTTACTAAGTCCGATGATCCTCCAAGCCTCCTTGACAAAAGCGTAAACCGCTGAACCTCAAATGTGAAACTCTACAGCCCGAGAGCCTAAAAATCCAGATGTGTCTTCTGCCACGCTTAGGGCTCCGCAATAATAACTGTATGGGCACGAACTATAACACACTGACGCCCTAACATCCTAACACCCAAAAACTCCCGAACCACGAAAGCCCTGCCCTTAAGTCCTAACACCGCAAGCTAGAGCCCAACACCCTAAACCCAGGCGGAAAAAGGGGCTCAAAAACAAAAAGCTAAACCCCTAAACCCCTGAGCCCTAAACCCCAACACCCCAAAACTCGAAGCCTGGATGGGCAGGTCCCGTACGCGGAGCCTCCCTCAAACTCTGTCGACCTCTCCTTGGCGGCCGGGGGGCTTGGTGGGAGGTTGAGGGTCTAGCGTTTGGGGGGGGATTCTTGTATATGGGTAGTTCTCTAAATTAGGGTCCCCTTCTAGGTCCCCGATATAGTACGACACCCTTNNGGACCCTGGTTTAGAGAACTATCCATATGAGGGGCTGTTAGGGTTTATATAGGGTTTCCCTCTTGTTTCAAGGCTTACAAAGGGTTTATGAGCTTCTGTGGGGCTTGTATAGGGGTTGAGGTGCGTAGAGGTTTCACAGTAGATGGGGGCGGTATTTTGATCCAGGTTTGATTTGAGTTTTCTGGCGCTCTAGGTTTGATTTGAGTTTTCGGGCGCTTTAGGTGTTGGGGTTCATGGGGGATGCGATGCGCATACTTCTGAGGCCCCTTCTGACTCGCTTCATCCTCCGGGTGATTGTCATTCCATTATGGGCTTAGGCTTCAGGTATATAGGGTTCAGGGTAGTTACAGGTAAGATGTGCCCCACGTCCCAATTCCAATCACTTACGCCCTGACGTTGGTGAACAAGTTTTCAAGAGGGGGAAAGAGGCAAGACGTCAATCTTCTTTTAACCCTGAACCCTACACCCTAAACTGGCTAGCCTAGAGTTTGAGGTTGACGAACACCACCCAGGCAGCTTTCGTAAGAGTGCTGGATTCTCAGGACGCCGGGGTGAAGAACGACTCAGAGTCTTTTGCCAGGCCCTTCCGAGCAGGGTTGTAGCGGAAGTGTGATGACCCGGTTTGAGCCCTAAACCCTAAACCCAAGAATGTCTGAGCTGCTGGTTATTTTGTCTTTTCCATGATTTTCAGCTTGCGGTTTAAAGCTCCGAGGGGAGCTTCGTCCCGTTAAGTTTGTATGTAGGGGGAGGCAAGAACCCGGGATTACTTGCTTGAGTGCTGTTAATTCATGCAGGGGCTAGGATATTCATTCTCATTGGATGTGGGGCTTGGAGTTTAAGCTAGGGTGTCGGGCCCAGAGACTCCAATACCCC